CAACAACAGACAAAATAGTTTATTGTTTCTTGCTGCTTTCATCCATTTGTTTATTTATCTATCAATTTTTTAAGTTGGTTTATTTTTTTCATATATTTTTGGCAATTTTTTAACTAAATTTATTTATTTTGTTGTTCGTTTTTCATGATTTCTAGGTACGGTTAAGTAGGATTTTATATCTTTTGTTTTAGTTGCAAACTATTGTGCACTTTTGACCTAAATATTCTGCAAAATTGCAACAATAACAGTGCATTGGATTCATCATCAATCATACATGCAGCAAACATCAAAAACAAAAGGAGTAACAATGGAACCAGCAACAGAGATCGAAAACTGCAACTGCAGCTGCAGCTGCAGCTGCTGCAGAAGCATCAAAAACAACAATAATAACAGCAACAGCAACAACAACAGCAGCAGCAAATACAATTCATGCAGAAGACAATGCCACACAAAATAAATGTATCGAAATTTTGGTAACTCTATAAATGAATACATACATATATATTTATATATATATATATATAGATATAGATATACATACATATGTAAGCTTCTATGGATATGTACAGATATGTACAGATATCCATAGATATTCATATTGGTATTTGTTTGTAGTGAATTTGTAATTTGTATAGGCGAAGATAGCAACATAAATATTAGATATTCTCTGAAGTACACTTGTCTATGCATTATCCTGAATACACACATTGATGTCGGTATTTATTTGTATGCAACTGTGAGCTGCCAACATATATCTTTGTGTCGTTGGAATGTTGTTTAGCAATATTCGTTGGCAGCGCCAATGGGAGCCATTACCATCACCGATACCATCACTGCCATTCACAACTAAAAATCACTGACTACGTACAATGAACTATGATACAAAATGTATCTAATGTGACTAATGTATCTGTATACGAGCTTTTACCTCACATAAAATATACAAGTAATCGTAAATTAAACAAAACAATTAATCATCTTAGAACAAGCCAAGCAGAAGTTGAAGATGTTGTAACGCATCCAAAGATACGGACACTGCACAAATACAATAACAATATTCACTTTAACACCTCAAATGCACAATTACAAATGCACAATTGCATGAACGCTTGCACCTCTCTCGTTCCGTACCCAAAATACCCGTAATCATAAATACTTGAGCATCGTACCTAACCCCATGTAGTGGATTGCAAATGCATTTATTTATGCATCTTTGGATACAGTTGGTCCTGTGCACTTCGATTCATACACATACGAGTACACAGTACAAGTGCATATGCTTCTGTTGCTTAAGTCACGCAATTTACATTTTTGTTATAATATCCTGCCATTTCATAATTGTACTAAGCTATTGTCTATTACATTACATTCACAGTGATCACTGTTCTGCAATTTTCGATCCTGATTTCATACATAAATTTTATTATATGAAGTGATTTCCAAGAATTATTTGTCAG